ACCATGGCAAAGGCAGATTAAAAATGTTGAGCTAAAATAAAATAGCTGCTTTTCCTCTGAAATGCTCAAAGACATATTCAAGTCCATAGCCACTCTTAGGTTTTGTCAATCGACCTTTTCTCTTTGCTTCATGAATATTCCATTATCCATAATTTTCTAATTCCCAAAGAATAGAAATGGACACTATAAACCTTTGCCAGGTCATTCACAGTTCATAGGCCACATATGGCGACGATGAATTTAACTTCTAGTGAGATTACCCAGAGGAATATTACATTATCAAATGTCATATACTCTAAAGGTAATTCCAAAAGAGGAATTTAAACACAGTTTGAACAAAGGCAATGTCATGTGAATAAGTAAACAGTCGTGCAAATGGAACAATTAACTGAAAATTTCAACAATCAGATTAAAATCTCTACTAAAATTCCAAACACTATAATATCTTCTCTCTCCCTATCCTTCTTCCTCCCTCATCTTTCCCTCTTTTACTTTATTGTGACTTCCACCTTCAAGTTGAACTTGACACTAATTCTATTCAATAACCACTGACACTGTAAAGCCACCCATGTTCTGGCATGGATCCAGAGTACAAGAATGGGTGAGTCAACCCTTTAATCATTGTTGTTAGGAGACAGATATTCTGCAGTATCATGCTGTGGAAATCTAACATCTCACATACATTGTCACATGTTATACAGGACACAAAGGGTATGATGCATTTTTGACTACATTGATTGTGAAGTGCTAACCTTAAATACTGTGACTCTATGCCTTTCACACAAACAAATTTCCTCCTTTTGACCTTGATTATGCTTCTTGCACACAGCACATGTGCCATGTTCCCAAAGAGAAGTTGCTGAATCAAACAAGATTTAGTCAATCAAGTGTGCTCAGCCAAGCATTTACAAGTAAAGACAAATGCAGTCAAGAGGCATTTTTCAAAGAGCAAATAGAAGATTGTTGTTTTTTTTTTCAATTTTGGACATTCTACAGGGTAGTTTTATTCTGATTAAATGGTGCTTTTATGTAACTATAGCATATCATTATGACTCTAATGCAAGGAATATCATCATTCTGTAAAATCTAAAAAGAAACTATGTCAATACAAAAAAAAAATATGATGCCAAACTCAGAACATTTAGACTTGGGCAATTCTAGGATGAGGAATAGTTAATACTTGGGAGAATTAGTACATTTTGTAATTTCAACTTTATTTAAAATCATAAATTAAAATATTTCATCTTAAAACAAAATTGGGCGTGAACAATATAAAAATATGTTTATAGCTGCCAAAGGAGTAAGAACAGTAAGAATAACACTAACGATAAAATATACTTAAGGTTACCATTTATAATAAAATACTAAAAATAGTAAAGTCAGACCAAATAATATTCAAGGGAAAAGACATTATGTGGGACAAAATTGGAAAGGTTATTTTATGATTAACTACATAGATGTATATAGAACTAGGGAAGTTAAAAATCTTTACATGTTCAATTTCATGGCATTAAAATACATAAAACAAAATAAAGGACCAAAAAATTAACACAGTATCATATTAGAATGCAAAATTTTTTTGTCTTTTTTGATATCTAGATGATCAACAAGACAGAAGATAACTTGTTAAAAACACTGAGATGCAGGATAGAGGAGAATACAGAGGAGAAGCGTAGAGGAATCAATGCACCCAACAGAAATACAGAAGATGAGAGGATAGAGGAAATAGCCATATCTAGGAAAGAGCTGGATATGTGAGAAAAAGGATCTCAGTAGGAAGAGAGCCAGAAACCATCAGAAAGAGAAGGAAAGACTGAAAAAATAGGTAAGCCAGAATGTTGCCACTGAGAGGTTGTTATCCCTTCACCCAACAGTCCCTCAGTCTCTCCCACTGGCCTGGTAAGAAGAACATAACTGACTGCGAGAGCATGCCCTGTTCAACAGCTGACTAGATGACTGGAGAGTGGCTTCTAGTAGAGAGAGTCACATAATCATCCCTGGCATCAAGAAATAAGAAAAGAGCTCAAATAAACAACCACAGCTCTCACCTCAAACTATTAGGAAAAGAAGAACAAATGTAACTGAAGACAGTAGGAGGAGGAAATAATAAAAATCAGAGCAGAATAAATGAAATAAAAATCAGTAAGTCCAAAGATCAGTGAAACCAAAACCAGGTCGTTTAAAAAAAATCAATAAAATAGTCAAGCTTCCCAAAGATGGGCAAAACACTACATGACATACATTTCAGTAACATCTTTGAAGATAAGCACCCAACGTAATGATAGTCAAGGAAAGAATAAATAGATGGGACTACATCAAGTTAAAGAGTTTCTGTACAGCAAAAGAGACAGTACAAAAGACAAACAGGCATCCCACTGACCGGGAAAAAATTTTCTTATACAAAAATGGTGATAAAGGATTGATCACAAAGATATTTGGAGAACTGATGAAACTCAACAAAAATAAATTATACAACCCCATCAGAAAATGGGCAGAAGAGCTAAAAAGACATTTCTCCAAAGAGGAAGTGCAGATGGTCAACAAGCATATGAAAAAATGTTCAACATCACTTGTAATAAGGGAGATGCAAATTAAAACCACAATGAGACACCACCTCACACCAGTGAGAATGGTACATCTTAAAACAACTAGCAACAACAAACACTTGCAAGGATATGGAGAAAAAGGAACTCTCCTGCACTGGTGGTGGGAATACAAACTAGTACAACTATTATGGGAAACTGGAGGTTTCTCAAACTGCTAAACATGGAGCATCCATATGACCCAGCAATTTCACTTCTAGGCATCTACCCAAAAGACACAAAAACACTGATTGAAAAAGATACCTGCACCCCCATGTTTATTGCTGCTTTATTTACAATTGGAAAAACATGGAAGCAGCCCAGATGCCCAAAAGTAGATGACTGGATTAAAAGGATGTGGTACATATATACAATGGAATTTTACTCAGGAACTTGGATGGAGCTGGATAAGATCATGCTTAGTGAGATAAGCCAGAAAGAGAAAGAAAAATACCAGATGGTTTCACTCATAGCAGGAGTATAATGGACCAGGCGAGAAAATAACAAAAACAATGAACAACCATATACCAGAGACATTTTGAGGGGGTGAAGTGGGGAATGGGATCAAAAATGGGGGGGATGGAGGGAAGTGCACGGGATTATGGTGATGGCACACAGGTGACATGGTGATGGGAAACCCGTGGGGATTACAATTGAGGTGAAAAAAAAATGTACAAAATGATGTAAAAATAAACTGTTATAAAATAAAAATTTAAAAAAGAGAAAAAAAATAGAGAATAGAGGAAATGGAGAAATTCTTAGTCCTTCAAGACTGAGCCAGGAAGAACTTGAAACAGTAATCAAAAATCTCCCAAAGATCAAAAATCTCAGCCCAGACAGTTTCACTAGTGGGTTCTACCAAATCTACAAGATGAATTAGTATCTATCCTACTCAAACTTTTCCAAAATACAGAAAGAGGGAAAATTTCTAAATATATTGTATGAAGTCAACATTCTCTGTTTCCAAAACCTGACAGACATCACATAAGAGAATATGGACTAATTTTCAGCATGAACATAGATGTAGAGATCCTCAACAAAAATCTTAGCAAACTACATGCAACAATACAGCAAGAGAATCATGCATCATGACTGTGTGGAATTGATTTCAAGGATACAGAAATGGTTCAAGAAGTCTGGAAGTTCCCAATACTATTTGCCTTGCTGCCAATGTAATAATAGTTATGTTATATATTTTGGTGCTCCTTCATTTGGTGCATATATATATTGATGACTGTTATTACTTCCTGATATAGTGTTCCCTTAATCATTACATTGTGTCTATTTCTGTCTTTTGTTACCTTTTTTATCTGGAAGTCTATTTTAGCTAATACAAGTATGACCACCCCTGCTTTTATCTGGGGCCCATTAATTTTCAGAGTCATTTTCTCACATTTTACTTTGAGTTGATGTTTATCTTTGTGCTCAGCTAAGTCTTGTGGAAACAATAGAAAGTTGGTGTTAAATATGGACTTCTTAAATGAAGAAATGGAAAAAAAGTGGAAAAAATTAATGAATGAGTTAATAAGTAAGGAATGTGTTAAAATGAAGAAATGGAAAAAAGTGGAAAAAATTAATGAATGAGTTAATAAGTAAGGAATGTGTTATCACTTATAGAGAATAAAGTTAATAATTTATATGCACTGTGACTAGAACACTTGAAATAAAAGTAATTTTAGATTCTCATGCTAACTATAATAAGACTGTGTATAAGCAACCACAGACAGTTGCCTGCTGACTAAAGAAAGAAGCTGAAAAGAGTGAGTGAGAGAAACAGAGAGAATGAAACATTGGAGAAGGAGGAAGAGAGGCTGACTATTTGCTTTTTCATTTTCATGATCTCTTTTTGTACAACCAGAGTCCATGAGGTAAAATCACTTTTTGTTTTTCAACAACAGAATTACTTATGTACCCAATGTAGATTACTGTAAGTTATATTTCCATGTCCTTTTAGATATGTCTTTTTATAATAAGAATTCTTAATCTTGATGGTAATCAATTATAACTAAGGGTTTTCCTACTTATGGAATTTTGCTTTCTTCTTTAATACACAGATAGATCCAAACTAATGGGGACCTGTTTAATATGGGGACCTGTTAAAAACTTACTTTGTTCAATGAGTTCTACTAACTTGCCTTTCCCACGAAATCTAAGATACCTGTTATCCTCTAACAACCTACAGATTTTACTTTCACTCATTTTCCATCTCCTTCCACGTAGCTCATCCAGAGATGTATTGATACTTTAAGCTATTGATCACTGTTTTAAAGTTTAAATTAATGATCAAACTTTAATATTTTTCTAAATTTAGAAAAAAAACTCAAATTATTGGGTTTTTCAATTTTTCAGTTTTTCCCCTGGAAATAAAATTCAGTGAAGAAGCTGAAATGTTAAACTAATAGGAATTAAGTCAAATACCTGAAAAGTTGTTTCAGGATGCTTTTCTTTCACCACTGGAGCAGCTGGAACTTCCTGGAGGGCTTTTGCTGCCTTTTTTTTGGCTTTTTCCATTTGAATATTGGTAAAATAGTTGACAGCAGCAAACTCAATAAGGGCCGAAAATACAAAAGCAAAGCAGACAGCTATGAACCAATCCATTGCAGTAGCATAGGACACTTTGGGCAAAGAATGTCGTGCACTGATGCTCAGCGTGGTCATGGTGAGGACTGTAGTTATTCCTTAAAAAGGAAAAAACAAGGAGATAAATTACCTCCCTTTTACATCTATGCAAAGCAAACTAACAAAATACTTTTGGATTTGGGGGAGGGAAGTGGGGTAGGGTAACAGTTTACAATAGCCCAAACCAAATCATCTTTGACAAGTGATTCAAAATCCTAGTGGTTTAGTAGAATTGGAACAGACTTTGAAGAGGTTTATATCCTGACTGTTCTAATCATTGGTTCAGTGTGACTTGTGTTAAAGTTAGGAAAACTCACTGGAATTCATTTAATATCTACTTACTGAGTTTCTGATAAAGGCAAATAGTGTTTTGAGACAGCTACCAAATACCAAGTTGACATTAATATCTGAGTCAATATACCTGAAAGATTCAGCACACACACCTCACAAAAAGAGCTACTCGGGCCCTCCCTGGTGTCACAGCGGGGTAAAGCATTGCACTAAGAAGATGAGGCCACTTCCTCATGAATTTGATCCCCGCCGCCTTCCCCGGAGGAGATCCACATGGCCAGGCAGACCTCTCCTGGAGTGCCCTGCTCTCCTCAGCAGTGTACTTCGTAGATCGGCCTGTTCTGCTCCCCACTCTGTCCCTGGTGGGTCCTCTCACCCTCCGCATCTCTGGCCTGTACCCCAGCTCTGTATGAATAAATAAATCAATCTTCAAAAAAAAGAGCTACTCGTTGAAACACTGCTTATGATCTTGGGGTAGGAAGTTGGTAGTACTGCAAATTGGAGTATCAGAATTTCTGGGGTAGACATGGCCTACTACTGTTGAGAATTACTACCAAAAAGTACAAATTACACTGTTTATAATCTCTAGCTGATTGTTACCCACTGAAAAAAGACAAAAAATAGACTAGCTGTTAGAGACCTAATTTACACAAAATGATAAAATGATACTCCTAAAAAAGAAAAAAAAAAGATTTCTATAACAAGTTGACTTTTAAAAGTATTACATCTACCACACATCAATGTGTGGTCAACAGGAAAATATATGCAAGAACAGAGGTTCTTCTCTCTTATCAATGGGCTTCTGAACTATATCAGGAAAGCCTTCTCCTCAACCTAGAAAAGGTAGTGCCCATTCTCAGTAGAGAATCTCCATTTGTCACTGAAACAATAGAGAAATGCATTATTTATGGATGCTAATATCTCTACAGTTGTCTTTTTCTGCATCTATATCAGTATATATTTTTAAATTTGGAAATTTTTATGGGGGGTTTCTATATTCATTTAAACTCATTATTTTTTTCATTTAAATTCATTTTAAATAATGCCCAGGATAGCTCCTGAAGTTGATACACTCAGGGGCTTGGGGGTGAAGTTGGTGAAAACACCTAAACGATATACTCCAATCCATGTAAATTCCCAGCTGAAAAATCAAATAATAAGACAAGAAACTGAAAAGATAAGTGAACCCATGCCAACAACAAAAGAATAACAATATTTTGACATATGGAGTAATACTATTATCTCCTCGAGTCAGAATTTAATTATATTCTGACTTGGGTAGTTCCCTAATTGTTCCACATATGTAAATGCTGTTTACTCAACTTAGTTAGGGAAAGCCTCCTTGAGAGTAAGTGTGCAAATGATTACCCTACTTACCTTATTTCATATGTCAGGCACATATGAAAAATGTAAATAAAGACTTGTTTTTCAGCTTTTCACGAAAGTGTCATTGTTTGAAATATGAAAAATTAGAGCAATTGTGCAGCATATGAACTATGTATATTTTATTTTTGAAATTATTTAATCAATGCTTTTCTCACATTATTGTAGTCCCCATAGTTATCCCGCCACCATATCATCCATGAACCATTACTATATTCCCTTATTGACATGTATCTTTTAAAAGCATTCCAAAATCTTTACAGAGAAGGAAATTTGAGGATTCAACTATATTTCTTTTTTAAAAAATTACATTTTTAGCATTTTATTTTAAAGCAAAATTTTAAATTCTTTTTACTCTTTCAAAACATACTTAAGTATCTATGAAAATGCAATATATGGTGTTTATTTCAGAAATAAAGGCTTCCATTTTGAAGCTCAGAAAAATGACGCCATTCCAATGCTGCTGAGAAATAGAATAAACCCTAAGTTAATTTTGATAACTTTTGGTGACAAAGTTTAGAGATAAATCATTTTTTTTCTTTTTATTCATAATAACTTGTGTGTAATATTGAATTAAGAATTCAAAAATGCTCTACAACTTTCTAAAATTTGTAATTAGCATGTTTTCTCTAATCTCAGAAATTATGGTGAATATACCTGAAACTATAAAAAATATGAAATGCACAATCTAAATAGAACTCAGGAAATTCTAGATTCTATATGTGATAACCAAAAAGGAAACTCAAACTCAAATATAAACAACAAAGGATTTGGCCTGAATCAAAAAATTATTTTCCAATTGTTACGGGTGGTAAGTTATCAGGCTTGTGGCAAAGTCAAATGATACCATGGCTCCAATATAAAAATGTCGGATAGATGGCCACTTTCCATTTCATTTTCACTGTTTTCAGTTAGCTTGATTTTAAATTTGTGGAGCAACCCTCCATATTATTCTAATTTGTGTTTTACAATTGTGGATTAAATAAGTAACTAATATAAACAACTTAGTGAAACTGTGTCATCTTTAGGCAGTAGAATATCCTTTCTTCATAGTGTTCAAACTTTAAAGTACTACAGTACCAGGACTATGTTTATTAGGCCTGGTTATAGAAGTGCATCTAGTTAAATAAACACTCAGAATAGCAAACAAAAGCCAACCCTTCCAATAAGAATTTAAGTTTTCTCTGCATCTAAGAAGACAGAGCATAGCTGACACTTACCTTGAAACATTTCAATAACCATAGATATTTTTGACAAATTCAAGTATTGATGCCAGTTCCTGCTTTTAGAATGCTGAATGTGCACCATATTGTTTGGCTAAGAGACTGGAAGAGTTTGTGTAAAAGAGGCTAAGACTGTACACAAGAGGAAATTTTTGGCTGGCCGCGTCTAGAAAATGAACCAGTAACGATTTGGATATGCCAGCTGGCATGAACTCATGTTTAATGTTTTACTATACTGAAATAATTAGAAAACTTACAGGCATGCAGCTTTGGAGATAAAGAGGCCTTTGGAGAGAATATTCTGCACTCTACTTCTCCTACCTACAATGATCATTTTATTTTTGTATGATCTCTAGTGACATCCCTGACCAGCAAATTCTTTATGTGAAGAGGGAAATATCAGTACAGGGTTACTCTTTTTTTTCTTAAATCTCATTTCAAATAGATTGCTAATGTCTACAAAATGCTTAAAACTAACCTTGCTTAGGAAAATACCATGCTAGAAACTCAATGAACTGTCTAGTAATTACTTTGTGACACATCTTATGTCTTGGATCACTTAATTATTGACCAAAATTTTCCTGCTATATAAGCCAAATGTCACCTCTCAAATGGAAAAAAAAAAAAAAAAAAGATGTCTACTAAGTAACTTCAGCAAACATACATATAATTTAACTCAGTGGCTACTGAATTCTCCACAAGCTTCCATATCCCCATAACCTCTGTGAAGCATAAGGACAGAGTCCTCAAACCTGGAGAGAAATTTAAGTTTTAAATTAGTTTTAATACTTAAAAGAATATGACATTGGTTTGGAAAAATTCCTAGAAACATACAATGTACTAAGACTGAATGATGAAAACTAAAAAAATCGAACAGATTACTAGTAAAGAGATTGAATCAGTAAGTCAAATACTCCCAACAAATAAAAGTTTTGGACTAGACAGTTTCATTGGTGAATTCTCTCAAACAGTCAATGAAGAATTTATACCAGTCTTTCTCAAACCCTTCCAAAACACAGAAGTGGGAATAGTTCAAACTTATTTTGAAAGTCTGTATTACTATGATACCAAAATTGGAAATACACCACAATAAAAGAAAGTTATAGGCAAATATTCTTGATTAACAAATACAAAAAGGAGTATTAACAAACTGTATTCAACAGCACATTAAAAGGATCCACACCATGATAAATTATGATTTATTCCAGGCTTGCAAGGATGATTCAAAATCCATAAAATAATCAACATGATACATTAAACATTAACAGATGAAAGATAAAAAATCATTATCATCACAATGGCAACAGAATACACACTGAACAAAATTCTCATTGATTTATGATTAAAATGCTCCACAAAATGGGTATAGAGGAGTTATACTTTTCAGAATAAAGGCCACATATGACAAGCCTATAGCTAGCAATCATACTTAATGGTGAAAAAGCCTAAAGTTTTTTTCATATGAAATCAGAACAGCAAAAGATAATTGCCAGAAGTGTGGGGGGTGAGAGTATTCACCAGAGACAGAATGAGGAGCAGAACTACACTCAGTTCTTATATGCATGAATAAAATAAATCTTTAAGAAAACTGGAATGTCACATGTGACAGAATGAAACAAGACCACTACCTTACATGATACATAAAAATTAACTGAAAATGAATAAAGATTTGAACATAAGACATGACACCATAAAACTCCTAGAAAAATTGTCAGTAAGCTCTAATGTAAGTAACATTAGTTATGGTGATGATTTTTTTAGAGGAGAGTCCAAAAACAAAGGTAACAAAAGCAAAATCCAACAAATGAGACTACATAAAATAAAATACTCTGCCCAGCAAAGGAAATCATTGAGAAAATAAAAAGGAAATATAATGAATAGGAGAAAAATATTTACAAGTTATATATCTGATAAGGGTTTAATTTCCAAAATATATCAAGAACTCATAAACTCAAAGGCAAAACAACGAAAAATCTGATTAAAAAGTAAGCAGAAGATCTGAACAGACATTTGTCTAAAGAAGATATACAGATGGCCAGCAGGTACAATGCTCAATATCACTAACCATCAAGGAAATGTAAATTAAAGACACAATGAAAATCTCAGACCACCTAGAAAGTCCATTATCAAAAAGAAAAGAACAGTACATTTGGTGAAGATTTGAAGAAAAAGAGCACCTTTGCATATTGTTTGTTGTAAATTGGGTAGCTATAATGGAAAACAGTATGGAGGTTCTTTAAAATATTAAAAATAGATTACCATATAATCCAGCAATCATTTCCAAGCATTTATCCAAAAAATAAAAAAACATGAAAAAAACACTAATTCAAAAAGATATGCACCTATAACTCAGATATAAAGAACACATTGATGTTTGCTATGGGTAGGGAGTGGAGGGAATGAAATGGGTGAAAAGGGTCAATAGGTACAAAATTTCAGTCACAAAATTAACAGTACTATATTGCATATTTGAAAGTTGCTAAGAGTAAATTTTAAGAGTTTTCAACACAAAAATCATTTATATTTATGCATGGTGGCAAATATTAGCTTAGAATAGTTATAGTGATCAATTCTCAATATATACAAATATCAAATAGTTATTTTGCATACTTGAATATAGTGGCATATGTCAATTTACCTCAATTAAAACAGTATGTGATTTCAAATAAGTTTCTGAAGTTCTTTAGGCCATTTATGTATAAAAAGTAATAATGCCTACCTTCCTAAGTTAATGTGGAGATTAATTAAGATGACCCCATCAGTATATAGCATACAAATACAAATATACAGTATATACAAGTATACAATATACAAATACAGTACACAGTATTTAAATCTTATCATTATTATTGCTATAACTAGTACTCTTACTTCATGGTTCTTAATTTCCTTTTAAGTCTTATCTGAGAGAAAATAATAGGTATGCTATCACTTCCCATACCAACAGAACTATTATTATTTGGGGGTAAGTGAGAACAATGGATCCCAGTTCATAGTCCATCAAGAAAGCATTCAAAACTTTGAATCAATTGTACTAACAAAAAAAAAAGCAATTTCAATCATTTTCTTTCTTACCTATCCTCTGAACGTGTTTTCTATTCATATCAGTAGAAAACTTAATAAACCAGTATAACTGGTTTTATTATTCAAAATATAACTGATGTGGAAAAGACATAACAAATATAAAAATTTAAAACTAATGTGCTCAGTATTTCATATAGGTTAGAATATAACATGCAGGAAGTCACTATGAATACAAAGAAGAATATGTGTGTTTTTAAAATAGTAGGTCGATAAAATATAATAATGAAGTAAGAAACCAAGCATGTAATATCTTCCAATTCAATGCATTTAAATCATTTGCATTTTGTTCCTCTTCATTAAAAGGCAAATTATTCTAAGGCTTTCATATTCATTCAGCCATGACTGTTATTTGTTTTATTTTAAGCTCCCAGTACATTTCATTTTAACACCTAGATATGATTTTAATTCAATTACACAGCATTAAGCTAGGAGTTTAAGAATATCACCAAAAGTGAAATTATATCCAGATTCACACTTGGTCTTCACTTGCCTGGTTTCAATAAGGGAAATCTGAGGTGGACCCAAAGGAATGATTGGACTTCCCATATCTCCTCAAGTCATATTACTTTATTTTGGCTAGACAAAAATAAAAGCTTGTATAAGTATTTGCTCAGTGCAATCTCATATATCACCGTTAAATATTTTCTTAGAAATGATACATACGGGATATTCCCATGAATCATGATCAAAAAGTAATGTGACTAAAAATACCCAAGTAATGAATTGCAATTACCAAACACAGTCCTAGCAGGAACGGATTCCTTATTTATCCAGAATGAAACTTGAGAAAGAATCACTGTCATAATGCATGGAATGTACGTCTGAATCATAAAGTAACCCATCTTCCGTCTGAGGTGGAAGTAAACCGTCATAACAATATATTCACCTACAAATAAAGCATCAGGGAAATGTGTTATTGGATTTGCAGGTAATTATTCAATGACTTCATAATCATATTTCAGACTAACAAACAGTATTCTATGCAAAAAAGTGATCTGTCTTGCATAGTAACACAAACATTGAGACCTATGTAGTCCCTAACTAGAGAGGAAATGATACTGAACATCATTATATGGAAAAGCACTTCTGTTTTAAGTAGTAGTTACACAGTTTAATGTGTAGGGCTATAACTTTTTAAAACTTTCAGTGCTTTCTAGTTTAAAGATCTAATAAGAAGAAAGAAATTAGCCTTCATTTCCAGCAGTTTTTGAGGGTAAAATTTATACCTAACTTGTATAGAGAACTACTTGAAATGGAAATACAAGCACATATATATCATTATCTTGTACATATGAAATTAAAGAAGTTGTATATGAAATAAACCTATATGAAAAAATAATGCTTAAAGTGCTGAAATATACAGAAATACATTATATGTACACATATGCATAGGAAGAGGTTTCTTTCTGCCTTAGTTTTAGGAAAAGCTTTATTTCTAACTGTTACATATATGGAGAAAAATACAGACTTTTGTGTCACAGAGTTATATATAACATTTCAGAATTCAAGCATGTCTTATTACTATTTACACAAAAAATCTAAAAAGTTCATAAAAGGAAAAAGGATAATATTTCTGGAAGATGATAAATATTTTCAATGTTACAAGGGAGGAATATATTAAGAAAGCTTCTTAAGAAGTAATAACCCTCTTCTCAGCCTGCAAAGGCTCACATTGTCCCAGCTGTGTAGACTGGAAAATAAGTACTATCAAAAGATTTTTTTTCAGGGTAATACGTGTAGGTAAAGAATACTTTCATAATAAAGAATAATTATCCAGTTTTCTCCATTAAATATCATAAAAACTAAACACTATGATTTTATCCATCCACATTCCAAAGGCAAAAATCAATTAAGAATCAACAGTGATAATAATGCATCTATTCATAGAACAATTTTCACATTTTCCTGTAAGATATTTTGTCACTAAACTTTCTATTTTGCTTTTGTCTTTATAAAGAATGGAAGGGAAGGCACCAAAAATTTAGGCAGGGCAATAAACAATTTGGGAAAGTCACCAAAAAAGATCATGAAAATCTAGTGTCCAGAAATAAATAATGAACCTCAGAAATAAGTGAGCACCTCAAAATTCTGTTGAAAAACATTTTAAATATTTCATTATTGACTCTCATTTCCAGTAAAAAAATTAGTTTACTTTTCAAATCTCACCAACCCAAAACTTGTTTTAAAGTAATATAAGAATAGTATAACTATAATAAAAATTAACAAATATAAATCTAAATGAAAAAATTCTGTACTGTGATTTATGTATCAACTTTATCTCTGGAAACTTTTTGTTGTCCCCCGAAAACATCAGATATTTTCAGTGAAAAAAAAAAAAAAAAAAAAAACAGAACAAAACTCCACTGTTAATACCAAGAAGCATGAGTTAAGTTGTTAAACCTCTCACCAGTAATGGATTTGATAGTTTCACTTGATACAGTTTGCCCAATCAAGTCATATTGGACTAAGCTGGAAGACTCCTTAGGAACTTCTACTGATTTCTCAGGACCTTTTGTCCAGGTATAAATCATCTCAGTCTTTGGATATGCATCTGAATAAAAGCATAGATTGTGGTTAGAATAAGCGCTGCTTTCTCATCTGTACTGTGATGGTCAACATTCAAGTTTATTCCCTATGTTCCCAAATGATGCACCAAAGGAAAATAACATATTACTTATTCAAACATGGTTTAAGTTTAGAAAACTGTAGCGGTTAAATAAACACCCTTTCAACTCAGCATGTTTCTTTCTATGCCATAGAATGCAGAGACTAAAACTAAGGCAACAAAAATACCATGTTGTTAACAGGCTAATAGAAGAGTCACCTAAAAAGGAAAATATATATATATATATATATATATATATATATAAAGCCCACCCTTCCAAACTGCCATCAAATCATTTCTTCCCATGAATTCATTCTCACTCTCTTGCTTGACCAACACTGACTCCTTCCACCCCAATGCAGCACTGCCAGTTAGAAACAGATCAGATGCTGACATAATCGCACAATGACAAAAAATGAAAGCAATGTCTATTTGGAGAGTTTTGGTAGGGTCACCTATTCCAGCCTCTGCCTTTAGAAAATGTCCATTCTGTCCGGAACTACTCTGCAGTGACAAATGGCTACCTGTTTGTAAAACTCTCCAGGGAATATAAATAATTGCACAACCAGCTCCACTACCTTTTAACTCTCACAATCAGGACATTTTCCCTTCCATCTTCAACAAATTCCTCTTCATAGCCATTCAAGTTCATTTTCTATTATTTGGTGTTCAATGCAAATGGAGACCAGCTGCTTGCTTACCTGTCTACACTGAGTAGATTAGATTGACTCACACACAAATAAGTTAAAAAGAATCAAGGTGAATCATGTACTTCCTGCCACAAACTTTCCTAAAATGGCCCATGCACAGTAGGTCCCCAGTAGAAATATTTAATTCCACAAAAGGAGGTAGTTGATACCTATAGAGGCTATCTTCACAAAAGACTTTGCAAAACAAACTGAGCCTTTTGTCATTTGCAGTATACTATGAGGTATCAATGTTTATCTCCTGAGGTCTATTCATGCCTAACCATACAGTAAAGCCCCAACTATTCTTACCCATGATATTTTAGATCAGATCTTCCTTCTTTTGGCTATTTCACTTTGCTAAAATAATCTTTTATTTTCCTGGTATTTTTTTTTTCATTCTCAGGAATTATTTTAAAAAAAGGTAAGTGGTACTCATCTTTCCAAAGTAATTAAGGTTTCATATTTACTAAGAATGAAGTGCCTCTCTTTAATTCTCAACCCCTAAACATCGATTCCAGAATGATATATTTTATGCATATCCTGTTTGAGCACCAACTATGCTTACATTACCTCAAGCAGTAGTTTCTGTGAGAAGTAGAGGCGGTAGAGGGGAAAGGACTTCCCTTAGATAAAAAAAAATTGAAATTATTATATTACAAATTGTTTTAAATTCTGGTCCCAGTGAGATCAACTCTTTTGGTCTACATATTTTTTCTGCTTTTATCTTTTCTCACTAAGTCACTGGTCAGACAGCAGATGACTCTCTAGCACCAAGTTAGCCTAACTAAATATTGTGATTATTGGAGGTTATAAAAAGAATAGTGACTGTCAGTGTTCACTAAGTCACGCAATGAGCAATGACAACAGCAGGCGGCAATTTCACAATCAGAGCCAACTATGAATCTGCAGCAATAGTAAAAGCCAACATCTATTTATGGTAGATTATTATTGAGTCAAATATTTCAGGCAGACATTAAACCAAGCAATGGCATTTTGCTGCTATCTCTGAGAAAGAAACTCCAGGGAAAGGAATTTCTTCTTCTCATTCATTTCATTCCCATCTTCATCAACACAGAATATTCCCAAATCAACCCACTTCACACTTTCCTCCTCTAGTACCATCTTAATCTAAGCTACTGTCGATTTTGAATGTACTAAAATAACAGCCCCCAGTGCCTCTGTTTCTACTCCAGTCTCTATAAAACATTCTTCACAGAAAAGTTAAAGTGAAATTATGAAATGTCAGTGAATATCTTGCCCCTTAGCAGAGCATTCCAAAGACTTCCTATAGCATTTAGAATAGAATTCAAAGTCCAAAATGGGTTCTAAAAGCACTATATTATCTGTTTTGTTTACATATCAAATCACACCTCCCACTATACTTTTGTCATGATCTTTATTAATCTGGAAAGACAAAAAATCGCACTTAACTGTGTTTACTATTCATGAAAATGAAATAATAGCTAGAAAGAAGGAATTTATTCTAGCAAATTATTACAGCTAAAAGAAGGAAGTATTTTTTTTTTTTAATATTCTGGACAGGAGTATAGTATTTGAGGAATTTTATACTGTTGCTTATGTTTTTTAATTTATGTCACAGCAGTAATTCCTGGAACTTCTTTGGTCTTTTTTTCAAGTCTTCCATAAAGGAAAAGAAATTATTAAATTACAAAAAAAAAATACATTATTTATATTTTCTATGTCACCACAACACACAAAGTTCCCTGAATTTCACTATTGAACACCAACCCATTAACTATAGTCAGTTTAGAAATAGAGTTTTGGCATTTGGGAAAAGGTTTTTATTTGGATTTATCTAGCTATGCTAGTTAATAAACAGTCTCCTAAAAATCAAACACTTAAACATTGACATTTGTTGCCATGGACAATGATTTAAGTGTTGAATTATGAAAATTCATGTACATATATAAATATTAAATTGCATGAGGCAATCACAAATTCTAACAGTATTTTTTTTGTCCACTTACAACTCCCAAATTTCAGAGGACATGCGTGACCATCCATAGGGAAATCCACCAATCTCATAGGACATTCTGCACTTATGGTAAGTCTGTGATGGAAAAAAGATAATTAAATAAAATCAACTATTTCTTAAAAAATAAACTTATAGATTCTTAAATAAGAAAATTAATAAAAGAACAAAAGAAAGTAAAGGAAAAAGGTAGAAAAAGAAGAAGGGTGGGAGGGGAGGAGGGAGGGAGGGAGGAAGGAAGGAATAAAGAAGGAAGGAAAGAAGGAATAAAAAAGCAAAAAATGACCACCTCATGGTGTATAAAATAGTGCCATTTCTCATAATTCTAAAAAGCTTATTTGGAGCAGTCATATTATGTGAAACAGATTTCTTTCCATTCCTGAAGAAAGTGTCAGGGGTCCATACTTTTGTTACCATCATATTGTTTAATCTCAAAATTTCAATGGGACCATCATATTTTAGTCTTTTGTCAATCCACGTCTGTCTGAAGAACACATCCATTGTATATTCCTAGGGAAATTAGTTTGTCATATGTCAAATTACAGGTGACTATACACAAATATGCAGATAAAAATACAGCAAATTATGACCTCTTTCTTAACCATAAAAACTATACCAGATATAACTAATATGAACAGAGATTTCTTTAACTCAATAGAGTAAAAAAGATTTTTGGCAATTTATGCATATTATATCCATATTGATAATTGTAATTTACTTTTGTTAAAGAACTATATAAATTACCATACTTTAATCAATCAAAAATAACTACTATAATTTAATAAAACTGCCAGCACCAGGTAATTACTGTTGTACTTTGTTTTAGACAAAGTAGAAAAATGAGTTAGTATATAACAAATATCATGGCATAATTAATCATAAAATTATAGGCCTCTCTTTGAGACAAAGTAAAATATGTAAAAGAGAAATCGATCAGAAATTTTTGGAAGTTAGCCTAGAAGTCTAGGACCAAGTGACAAAATAGTATTTTTGACCTGTAAAATAAGGATTTTTAATATCAGTGAGTACAACTGAGTGGATAATTCATCCTACTCTGTGCTTATTGTCCTAAGCTCATTAAGCATGAGAGTGTGGCTGGGAGAGGAGGAGAGTGGATAAGAAATGGGGCCAACATGAAATACTACATGCAGTTAGGACTACAGTATAGCCTTATACCAAATCTAATTATACTCTCCTCTTCAAAAAATTTCTAAGGGGAAAAAAAAATACTGTATACAAGGTACTGCAATAGGGATTAGTAATAGGAAAGTTCTTTTCTTTATTGAGAAAGACTCCAAGCCAAAAAATATTCAAATGTTAACCATGGAATGCGAATTCAATAACTCTGTAAATCTCTGATTCTAATTAGACTGTACATTCATTTTATGATTGACATCAAAATAAATATGAATTGCCTTTTTTCCTGCATGCTTTCCTCAAACCCTGAAAGTTACATTAAATTTCCCAAATACCTACCATTTCAACATCAGAAACAGGTCCAAAGCTGGTGACATATATGTCAGTTTTCACTTCTGTAACAGGACCTAGTAGGCATGAAGTAAATAAGTGTGAAAAAATAATTACTAATTTTACAGGCAAGGTGGATTGGATAATTAATTAGGAAAAACAGACATGATAGATCATGTTTTTACAGGCATCTTAAGCTTTCAGTGACATAATATATCCCTACAAAAATGTAGACAAGAAAGGCATTGTTTACTTACAGGCAAAAAGCAACCCCAATTACTTACCAGAACCTTGTTTCTTCAGAGATATCACCCTGGGCACTGTGTAGGGAGTGCTGAGAACAAAAGCATTTAGCCTTTGTGATTTTTTATACTCCATCATCTGATTGCCCTTAAATAAAGATGTGACCTATTAGAAAAGGGAACTTAGCCACTAAAATGAGAAGGGTAAAAGCCATAATGGCCATAAGTAGTGCATCCTTGGATAGTTGAGGAAAATGATAAATAAATTAAGCACAAAAATGGTCATGTTACTTTGAATAACAGAAAGACACTTTACTAGTGATTGGGATCAAAAGGCTCTATTATATCAGACATTTTCATGCTCTGCCATTGACTAGCTATGTGACAGTGGGCAAATTTCTTAACCCCTCACTGTATCAATTATACATAGAAGCAAGATTGTTGAAAAGGATTAAATGAACTTGCTCAGATAAGACCTGAACATAGCTACTCTCTTATGGAAGTACTTATTAGGGTTTGGCCTCCAATAATGGTCACTCCTGATATACTTAGCCATGTCTAAATAAGACGGGTTCAGTGTGTTTGGCAAAAGAAAAAACGGGGAAAAAGCATCCAGACAACTGTGCTGACAAAAAGTTTTTAAATCAAGGAAAGTAGATATACTCTGGATTTAACATAATGTACAAAAATCAGGAATTCTAGAGTTCAAATCTGACCTTAATCCTTTCTAATCATATGAACTTGGTCCAGTCAGATTTTAATCTATATCAGTGGAAATAATATCTATAAAACACTTAGCCCAATCCCAGGAATTTGATATGCTTAATAATATTTATATATAATGTACATTTTTATTACCAATAAAAAAATGTTTAAATGTTAAACTCTTGAACACGATTTCCTTTAATAATGGCTTAAAATACAGTATGGGCCCTCCCTGGTGGGGCAACGGGTTAAAGCACAGCATTAAGAGTCGAAAGCCACTTCCCTATGAGCTTGACCCCCCGCCTGTCCCAGAGGTGACCACATGGTGCACAGACCTCTCCTGACCAGCCCACTGCTCCCCTCAGCAGTGTACTTCCTTGATCTGCCTGTTCTGCTCCCCACTCTGTCTCTGGTGAATCCTCTCACCACCCCTGCGCCTCTGGCCTGTACCCCAGTTCTGTATGCACAAATAAATAAATCTTAAAAAACAAACAAACAAAAAACACTGCATGGCCAGGGCCCTCCCTGTGCCCCGGCGGGTTAAAGCAAGTCACTAAGACGCTAAAGCCCCTTCAGCATGAGTTCCATCCTGGCAGAGTTCCATCCCTGCCTGATCCCTACCCAAGAGGTGATCCACATGGTGCGGCAGACCTCTCTCGACAGCCCGCTACTCCAGTCAGCAGCGTTACCATGTCAGTCTGCCTGTCTGCTCCCCAGTCTGTCTCTGGTGAATCCTCGTACTGCCCCTGAATCTCTGGCCTGTACCCTAGTTCAGTATGCATAAATACATAAATCATTAAAAAAAAACAAACCAAACACTGCATGGCCAGGGGCTAGATATAACATCTGTTATTGGGAAGAACAACATCTGCTATTACTATGAACTATTTCCCTTGGTTACTGGTTGAGCAATTGGACTTATGCCCAAAATGACAAAAATCATTGGGATAATTAAATTTCACAGGTCTAAAGTTATCATCATAAAAACAAATCAGAATATTTCTCATGGTATAGGGTGAAAATACAATCACTAAAAGAGCAATAATTTGAGGGGGAAAGAAAATTCTTCCATGAATAATTAGCCTAAGAAAAATATATCCCTTTCAAGTATAGACTGAGTAAGGTTTTCATTTGTAAAAAAGTGACAACTTTGTAAAACAGGGAAAGTAAAATGTGAAAAGTTAACTGAATTTTCATTTGAGTGGGAAATTAGAACCCAAAACAAAAATATGGCAGCAATAAGCTTATTCAGGTACATTTTTCCAAAAAAGGAAGGCCGTCCACGAAGCACGTAATGTATGCTGAACCCTGAAAGGTGGAGATTTCATTCAAAATAATTCCAGAGTGAGAGAAATCCTGTGCCAGTTTTTAAAGGGCAATTTTCAAAGTGATAAGCAGAAATATTATATCAGTCAAGTCAGACTAGGTTGAGGATGCCCTGACCCCTGTGCTGTTGACAAGATTCTTGAGAATCAAAGGCTGCCTCAAAGATCAACTTTGGGCAGTGGTCTCAAACTGGAACTGCATCAAAACTGCCTGGAAGGTTTGGGGCTGACAGAAGGCTACCTCTGATGTGCTGATTTGGTAGGTTCAAGAGCACTCTTTCTCTATAAAATTCCTACGTGATGCTGTGCACGTTACTCCAGTTCACAGCCTTCATCTGTTTTCTAGAACGGTATTTAACAAACTGCGTGTTCTAAAATATTATTGCCATCGATGTTGTAGGGGAGTAGAGAAAGTAAGAAAGGGAAGAAATATGCCAATGATATTTTTCCTTATAAATTTATTTTTAGGTGTGTGGGTGGATGCTAATTCTTGTAGTTATAATGACTGCATGATAATTGGCATTTTTAAATTCTTACATAACGTACTACTTTTTCAATGATCCTGGAAAACTATTTTGTGTTCAGAATTACACTCAGTATTTGTGACATTATTCAGTATTTGCTTTATACCATCACGTGAACCTTTGAGATTAAGACCCTAACAATTTGATTGGCAAAGAGATTTCTTTCTGACCCTCATTCAATAAACTTTTATTGAGTGATCACCTGCTGTGTACCAGGTTCCATGCTAGGCCCTGGTGTTACAATGGTAAACAAGGCTCACCAGTTCTCTGCTTAAGGGAATTGCTATTTGAGAAGTCAAAGTACTAATACTAAAGAAATAAATTTAGTGGAATATGCTATCATTCATAAAAGGAACAAAAGTGACTGGTAATTAGGAGACTGGGAAAGTCACTTTAGAATTTGTAACCATTCTTCAAAGCAGTGGCTTTTTAAGCTACACCTAGAAGGTGAGCCGATAAAAATTTAAGAACTGAGAGATTTGCATCCAGGATAGGAGAAAAAGCCAGTAATGGGAAAGACCTTATTTTGTTCAAGGGCCAGAATAAAAACACCAGTGAAGCTGGAGAAAATCAAGTGAAAAAGAAAAAAAGAAGAAATGAAAGAAGTCACTAGACAAAATGAAAAGCAGGGTCAATTCAGAAACACCCACTCCTGAGCCCATGTCCTGAAAGTGGCACGTTTGAAGCAACATTTTAGTTGGGGAAAAACTGAGGTGTAAAGATGAATCTCTGAATTAACTTATTCGTGCTGCCATAACAAAGTAACACTAAGTAAACAACAGGGGACAGCTGTTGAAATGGTTAAGAATTTGTAGAAATCCCAGTGACAAACAGAGCAACGTATAAAGTAATTGTTATGGACTGAATTACAATCTGCCCAAATCTATGTCGGAGTCCTAATACCTCATATTTTAATATGAGCATGTTTGGAGCTAAGGTCTTCAAGAAGGAATTTAAGGTAGAATGAGGGCAGTTCTGAACAAATG